TCCAACTCGGATCTGAAAAAAAAATGGTGGATGGCTGTTTTCTGACTGGTCGGCAGACCGCCGACAGGTCGGCCCTACTGGTCGGCTGCAAAACGGTCGGCGGTCGGCAGCTATGAAACCCTGGGGTTCAGAGCAAAGCAAACTACAACTGCATGCAGATGAGGAAGAAGCCAACCACGCTTATTTTTTTTTTTCCCACACAACGTTTTTTTCCTTTTTTTCCCCTGTGTGAGGAATGTGCGAGGCTCAAGGGCTTCATCTGCACTACTGGGCCCTATATTCTGTACACTTGGCCGCCCTAAGTGAAGGCAGGCTCGACCCAGGGCCTACAGGCCTATTTTGGGGTCACCACGCAACTGGGTAAATTAAGGCAGTTGCGTAGCGCCAGTTGGTTGAGAGCGCCCAGGCCCAGGCTGCCTCTTTTTGAATGTAACCGAGGCAGGCCCTGGGCCAGATTCACATCATGGACCGAACACAGGCCGCGGCCAGTTGGACACGGGCAACCACCACAGGCCCAGGGCCTGATTTGTTTGGGCTGGGGCTCAGCCTCTCTGGGCCTACCGGAAGCTTCTGGCCAGGGGCCCGGCGCAGCCAGGCTGCGCACAAGGCAGGCAGGCCACTTCCGTTCAAGAAAGTGCCTGCCCACGCATTCGGGCACTGGCTGCATGCTGCGCAAGCGCTGCTGCGCTAACACTGGCCAGTGCTCACGGGCGAGCTGGAAGGAGCAGGCAGCAATAGCCGAGCTGCGCTGCTGTATGCTGGATGGGGCGCATGGTGGTCCTTGCGTGCATGTGACATCTGTGAGTTGGGGATCGAGATTGTGAGTGATACGAGAGACATACCTGGTGCTTGAGGCGAACGGCATTGGCCGAGATCTGCTCGTACTTCGGGGAGCTGTTGACGTCATCAGCGGCATTGTAGATAGGCTAGATACGATCTGCCATTTGTAGTCTGGGCGCCAAGCCCCAGATAGGATGTCGACATGGGTTCTTTGTTGATGATGATGAGTCTACTCGAACATTGTCACTTATGAGCTTTTGCTGCGCTCTTATTTGGTGTGACTCGTGATGCGATTCTGCTTTTAGTTCGAGGTCACGACTATCTGGTCTCATATGTATGATGCTGTTTGGTTTCTGAAGTTCGCTATCGCTCATTTTCCTTGCAAATGTTGTCCTCAGGGGCCCCCCTAGAGAACATGCATATGTTTTGACTGTGCCCCCCCCCAGCACGCCTCGTGCCCGCCCTAAGTGAAGGCGGGCCTGAATAATCACGAGAGGCCCTTATCTCAGCATTTTACAATGCGGGTCTCAGAGAGTTGCTGCATGACAGTTGGTTGAAGTGCAGGCTGAGCCTTACACTGGGCTCTTCCAGAAGCAATTGCGCCAGGCTGAGCCCAGGGGCCGGGTAGTTGTGCCTCGAGCACACTGTGAGGCCGACACATCACGAAGTGACCACGGGCCACCATGAAAGCAGCATTGTCATCGTATCTACCCGAATGCAGCAAGCATTCGGAGCCTGGGAAATTCTAGGTGTGCCCAACTGAAAAGGGCCCACGCCCTGAACTGTCAAGAAGGCCTGGGCGCAGACTCTGGGGCCAGACCAGAAGCTACTGAAAACTTCCACGGCCAGGCCCAGGGAGTCCAGCAGTGGCTGCCACTTCCATATAGGAAGCAGGCCAGCCAGCGAGGGGCATCTTGTTCAATGCGGGCATTGCAGACACGCTGCTGTGGTAGCAAGCATCTGCATGCGCTAGCACTGGCTGGAGTCGTCCGCAGAAACAATACAGAGTCAGATGAGGATGTGTTCAGAACAGGAGGTAGGGGTCGTCTGCAGAAACAATACAAAGTCAGATTTTCCTTTCAAGAGCCCGAAGACGATCGCTGGTTCACACGAACAGAACTTCTAGAGACTGCTCCCGACGTAGTCCGTGCCTACGAAAGGGTAAAGAAAGGTAAAGATCCTGCTGTAGATTGAGTCATTCTCGGAGGACCTCGAATTTAGGCCGGCGGGAGTGAATTACCCGTGTACAGTATCAGTTGCCCTGTGTGTGTTTGAACCCGCGACCTGTGTCCCGCGAATTGCCTGTCTGATGTTGTAGGATAGTGGGGCTGTCGGGTTTTGAACCGTAGGTCTGTCAGGTAGGGTCCGCAGCTGTGTAGGGGTCATAGCCTGTGTATCTTTTTAAAGCGGAACGGGGGAATTTAACTCCCGTTGAATCCCGTTAAATTAAAAAAATCCCGTTAAATTCGCGTTAAACGCGAAAATGGGCCGCTCCCGCGCTTTTCGGAAAAACGGAATTGATGCGCGGGGTCCGGAACACATGGCCCTAGGCAAAAAAAAAAAAAAAAAAAAAAAAAAAAAAAAATTCCCCCCAACCCCCGAAGCACCTCCCATCCGGCCACACATCCCCCAACCCCCAACACCCCAGTTATGTGTGCGTAGGTGTGCTGTGTGTGCGCGTATGTGTGTATGTGTGTGCCTGCACGTGAGAGTGTGTCTGTGCATGCATATGAATGCATGCGCTTGTGTTTGTGTATGTGTGTTTGTAAGTGTGTGTGTGTGTGTGTGTGTGTCTGCATGATTGTTGGCATGTGTCCATTGTTTCCCTTTTGAGGGATATAGTTTTTTCCGTTGAAAACTGGGGGCGGGCAATATGGGTTTGGGCGGGCGATTTGGGTCTGTGTTTTTTTTCCTTCTACTGTGCAAGGAAGATGAGCAATAGTGAACTTCAGCAATCAAACATCATCATATACACAAGACCAGATAGTCGGGACCTCGAACCAACAGCAGAATTGCATCACGAGGTTCACCAAATAAGAAGACACCAAGGGCTCATAATTGACAATGTTGGTAAAGTCTCATCATCATCATCAATGAAGAACCAATGTTGATATCCTATCTGGCGCTCGGCGCCCAGACTACAGATGGCAGATCCTATCTAACCTATACTACAATGTCGAAGATGACGTCAACAGCTTTCCCGAAGTACGAGCATACAGCGACCAATGTCGCACGCTTCCAGCACCAGGTATGTCTCTCGCCTTACTCACAACCTCATTCCCCAACACACAGATGCCACTTGCACCCAAGGACCACCCTGCGCCACACCCAGCTTACAGCAGCGCAGCTCGGCTATGGCTGCCTGCTCCTTCCTGCTCGCCTGTGAGCGCATGAGTGCCAGCGAGCTACAGCGCGGCAGCGCTTACACAGCATGCCGCCAGCACCCGAATGCCCAATGTGGAGGCAGGCCCTTTGCTATATCGAAGTGGCCTGCCTGTGTTCAGTCCCAGGAAGCTTCCAGTAGGCCCCGGTAGCCTGAGGCCCAGCACGAACGAGAACAGGCGGCCCAGGGCCTGGGTTCTCTCAACCAACCGACGCCAGACTCATGCAACCTGCTACAGGCCCAATTTTGTGTGCGTGTGTGTGTGTGTGTTTCCTTCTTTTTATTTGCTTTTTAATAGTTTTTATGGTTTTTATTTTTTAAAAACACACGAGGTTCTAAAAAACTAAAATAAAAAATAAATTGTTGTACATCTTTGAAAGATCTACAACCCTATATTTTTTATTTCTTTTTCTGTTTTTGTTTTAGCCCTTAAAAAATCAGTGTGAAACCCAAAACAAAAACACTCATTTCATTTTAGTTTTTGTTTTTTTCATTGTGTGTTTATGTTCTTGATTTTTCGCTCCCCTAGCTTTCGTCTCTCAGTGTCAGTATCGGCCCAGCAGAGTGCTTTCGCCTTGGGCATTCTTTCCGATATCTACGCATTTCACCGCTCCACCGGAAATTTCCTCTGCCTCTACCGGACTCCAGCTTAGTAGTTTCTGCTGCCTGTCTAGGGTTAAGCCCTAGTTTTTAACAGCAGACTGAAAAAGCCACCTACAGAA